CATTTTCTTCCCAAAATCTTAGAGCTAATACAGTGATATTAATATGTTTCTTCTTCTTTTAACATTGTTTTCTTCCCTTTCCTCCCTTTTTTTAATTTATCTTCCCGTTTTTCTTTTTTCTTCCTTTTTTCTTTTTCTTCTTTTTTTCTTTTTCTTTCTTTTTTCTTGAATGTTCTTCCCTGGGCTGGGAAAGTAAGATTACACTCCCCTGGAGTTTTCAAGAAACCATATACGATATACCCCTACTTTTTACCGATGCAATGTGTTTTCCTGGTGTTATATTAAGATGACGCAAAGGTCCATGGGAATAAAAATGAAAATTGTGTTCCTAGCTCTGGTTCTACCTGTGGGAAAATCTGTACTCGCCACCATCTCCATACAAAACAGTATCTGCACACAAATTTAGGTTCATAAAATTTTTTTTCTGTAATTATCTTATAAATACTAATTCCAGGGTGGCCAAAACTTTTTTGAACACATCCGTACAAAAATCCGTACATTTTCAGAAGAAATCCGTACAATCCGTACAATTTTCGAAAAACAATCCGTACAATCCGTACAATTTTTTTTAAAAATCCGTACGATCCGTACATTTTTTTAAAGCAATCCGTACATTTTTTAAAAAATCTATACAATCAGTACAATTTTCGAAAAAAAACCCATTTTTGAAAAAAAAACATTAAAATTCAATTTTTCATTCATTGTCTTTTGTGTTCAGTTCATGTAAGAGGGTTTAAACTTATTCAGCAAGAATCAATCTGTAAAAAATTGGCTTCATACATATATACAAACTAGATACTGGGTACATCATACTAGGTGCATGATACTGGATACTGGATACATGATACAGGGTACATGATACAGGATACAGGATACTGGATACAGGATACAGGATACAGGATACTGGATACAGGATACTGGATACAAACTCCACCATCCCCTTTAAAAAAACGGTGTATTTTCCAGGATAAAAATCCGTACAATCCGTACAATTTGAAAACAAATCCGTACAATCCGTACAATCCGTACAATTTTAGGGTTAAAAAAAATCAATCCGTTCAATCCGTACATTTTGGCCACCCTGTAATTCTTTTTAAATTCAACTTTAAATAAAATAGGACTTGACGGGAATCAATGTTTTTATTAAGTCTTCCTTTTAATTTTCTTGGTTAAAATTAAAACTAAGATGAGACTAAATTTGTTTCCTCCACGTGTTTTGTCAGTTCTAACTTGTCCAGGTTCATCGTTTTCACGATCGATCTCTAAAATAAAATAAACATAAGTGACCCTTGATCTGTAGAGTGGCATGTCGGATTCACCAAGATAACAATAAACCTCCATCTCATAATCTGAGTTCGATGTCCATTTGACAGCCCAAATTTTTTTTAAATAATCTTTTTTATTTTTTTATTTTCTTGTGGTTTTAAACAAATTTTTTAATTTTTTTTTTGTCGATTTCGATAGTTATTTTATCGTTAAAACTGACGAGGGTCAACCCAGACCAAAATATATTTTCAATAAAAGTGAAACATCTACTTTTTTTACTCTACAGAGGATTGGTCCATCGCCATCACCGAATTTTAAACCTTCATCTATATTACTAGAGGGAGCTACCGTCTCTTTCTTGTAATAAGTTAAATTAATTCTTTTGAATTGTTGCATAAATTGCAATTGAAAATAATAATTTTAAGCTGCAAAAAAAACAAGGTTATCTTATAAATAGGAGTTTTAGTATTCATAATTGATAAGACTTTAAAAGAAATTTTCAGGGATTTTTAAACCTTTTTCACATTTTCTATTTGCGAAAACTTTACACTTTGCTTTACTTCATTTTCACGAGATAACACACTGAATCTTTAAATGGTTGACGAGTAAGCCAAGCAGTTAATATGTTAGAGGAATTAAATACATTTTCTATCTTAAAAAATATTATCAAATCTGTTCAGTTTTATCATAAGAAAATTCATCCTTAATACGTGTTAAAAAAAGAAGCTTACTCAACTTCATTACCAAAAAAATATTGAAATGAAACACATGAAGTAACAGGAAATATTTGTTAAGCTAATTATCACCGAAACTTGATATTTTAATGGAAAGAAAAAAATGGAACCTTTCTCTGCGAAGTAATTGAGTAACCATGATTTCTGCTGATCCCTCCAATCTAAAGTGACGATCTCTGATCCATCTATCTGAGTGACGATCTCTGATCCATCTATCTGAGTGACGATCTCTGATCCATCCATCTGAAATAAATCAAAATATTGTAGTCCGATAACCACAGTTGTATCTATCGGTATTGTGTTACGACATATAATCCTAGAAAAACGTACATGAAATATTTTGTACTATTTCAGGGCCGAGCGCTGCAGCTAGGACATTATAACTTTTCAATTTAAAATGAAGACGGTGGATGGCGGGGGCATAAATATATTTTTTAGGAAATAAGCTTAAGATTCATTTACTAATTTTATTTTCAGAACCACAATGGATAGGGAATGATAATAAAAAAGATGCACGATTGACGCGGGGGCCTATTTTGGCGGCCAAAGCTGAAAAAATGGAGTCAATTTTTCACTTTTTCAAAAATGGTGTTTAGGCTGCATTTGTTCCTAAAAGTATGATAAAACAGGCTGACATGCATCTTATTGAGATCATATATACGAATCAAGAACACAATTAGGCAGCGGAGGTCAACGACCTCCAGTTTGACTTCCATAAACGTTGAGGAACAAGGATGGGTATATTACTAGAGAACGATTTTTGGACCCCCCCTCCTCCTATCAATTTTGTACATGGGTGTGACAGGAAGTTTCTTAACTTAACCGAACCCGTGGCCGCAGCGCTTGGCCCCCTAGCCCATCCTAGCNCAGCAAATTTATTATTATTTATTTTTTTGTTATTTAGGGTTAGGTTAAGTTAAGATACTTTCTGGGCCGAGCGCTGCGGCCACGGGTTAGGTTAAGTTAAGACACTTCTTGTCAGACCCATGTAAAAAATTGATAGGAGGGGGGGGGGTCCAAAAATCGTTCTCTAGGAATATACCCTTATAAGTAACACAAGTCCAAAAATCGTTCTCTCGGACAGACCATATAGTTCGAAACGAGCAAACCCCCCCTTTTCAATCAGTTGCGCTGGCGCTTGTGAGCACGCTTAGGGGATGGATCCGTTTCAATAGGTTTAATTAAAACACTGTTTACACAAGTGCGCACGCTCTACGTATTTGTTGTTAACATATTTGTTTTAGTCGTCATTGCTTTAGCTTCAGCGCAACATGGGGTGGTGAAACATCGATCGCACTAATGATTGATCGGACTAACGTACATTCTTACAATTACTAATGTTCATTCGCTCAATAATGCTAATAATCACTTAATTTTTCATTCAAGAGAACTATCTTTTTAAACCCCAGCATCTCCAACATCCAACTAATAATGATATAGAAGACGACATTTTAAATGTTTCGAAAATTATAACTTTTCCTAAAAGTTAAAATTACTAATTTTTATCAGAATTTTTGAACTGTATGGTTAAAGCGGGTTGTGAATGTGATAAAATAATATTTTTCACTAAGATTGTTTAATATTTGAAAATTACTCCCAGTCCCAGAGGACACTCAGTAGTACACCACAGCACACTGCAGACTAAAGTATAAACAGCTGATTCGAAACCCTTTAGTTCTGTTTCAAAACAAAATTATTTTTCCGTATTTTTCGGTTGTCCTTCTTTGTCAGTTGGATTGCAATGAATGAAGATATTTTTCAAGGTAAATAATGATTTATAATTAGATTTTTGAACATTTAGTTTATAATGTGGTGTTTAACATATAAGGCCGGACATCTATGGCATGGTTTTTTTTATTATAATTCCGGTCCTCGTTGTAAATATATAGTATATATTAACAGTAAGCTTTCTTTTTACTTTTCACGACTGTCTTGGAATAATGCTTTACAAGATAGATTAAAAAAGTTCCTTATTTTTGAATGGTTCAATAAGTTTTAGGATAAAAATAAGCGAAAAATATAAAACAAAAAATTTGAAAATTATTTTTTGTTATAAAAATTCATTAAATCTTAAAGAAATGACCTGAATCCGGATCCGGATCCGTATCAAAATTAAATGGATCCTAAGCACTGCCAGGAAGGATGAGTATGTATTATATCCCAGGAAGGATGAGTATGTATTATATCCCATAAAGGATGAGTATGTATTATACCCCAGGAAGTATGAGTATGTATTATATCCCAGGAAGGATGAGTATGTATTATATCCCAGAAAGGATGAGAATGTATTATATTCCAGAAAGGATGAGTATGTATTATATCCCAGGAAGGATGAGTATGTAATATATCCCAGGAAGGATGAGAATGTATTATATCCCAGGAAGGATGAGTATGTATTATATCCCAGGAAGGATAAGTATGTAATATATCCCAGAAAGGATGAGTACTTAAAATATCCTATAATATCCCAGGGAGGATAAGTATGTTTGATATCCCAGGAAGGATGAGTATGTATTATATCCTAGGAAGGATAAGTATGTATTATATCCCAGGAAGGAAGAGTATGTATTATATCCCAGGAAGGATAAGTATGTATAATATCCCAGGAAGGATAAGTATGTATGGTATCCCAGGAAGGATGCGTATTAATTATATCCCAGGAAGAATGAGTATGTATTATATCCCAGGAAGGATGAGGATGTAATATATCCCAGGAAGGATGCATATTTATTATATCCCAGGAAGGATGAGTATGTATTATATCCCAGGAAGGATAAGTATGTTTTATATCCCAGGAAGGATGATTATGTACTATATCCCGGGAAGGATGAGAATGTATTATATCCCAGGAAGGATAAGTATGTTTTATATCCCAGGAAGGATGAGTATGCATTATATCCCAGGAAGGATGAGTATGTATTATATCCCAGGAAGGATGAGTATGTATTATATCCGAGGAAGGATGGGGATGTAATATATCCCAGAAAGGATGAGTACTTATAATATCCTATGATATCCCAGGAAGGATGAGGATGAGGATGTATCTGGTGAAGAATATGCACCTTGGGATGATCTGGGAAAAACTCCTCCCAGGACCTTTATGGCAAGGTTAGTCTGGGTTCCTTTAATCGCAGTTAGAAATTATAAATTAAAAAAAACACTGTATTGTAAATTTGGTACTTTTACCCAAAAATTCATTTATTTTCCTAAATTTAATGAAAACAATCGAAAAATATATTTTACATCTGGGGACATGATGATTTTTTAAATACCCCCAATTTTATTTTTAGCTTTATCAATTTTGGGAAAAGTATTAAAACGATCTCTATAATCTCAAAGGTTTCTATTCAATTGCTTCAAAAATCAGGCACCCTGTGTCAAAGTTAAAAAAATATATGCCCCTTGGTAAACGGAAAATTATCTCACTGTTCTCAACATTAAAAGGAACTATATAAATATAATGCGTCCTGTTCAAGAAAAGCCCGATTCCCAATATTACTTGTTAAACTTTTATTAATTAGGAAATACCATTGTATTTTAATCTTGGAAAGGTAAATCAGATTTTTATCAGAAAGTCTGGTTTAGCAAAATGATAAATTTTCACGATTTTGATGAATGGCTAAAAGGTTACGTTTTTGAAACAGACATGCTTCCATTTTTGAATAGTGGATTGATCTTGATTTCGTCTTAAAGTTCCTTTCGTTTCTTTCTTATAGCGTACTTTCATGTCCATGTAACGATTGCCCTTTGAAATCTAATCAATACTGTTGACGATATTATCTAGGTTTAACAGTTTTTAATTCTGAAAATTCATTTATGTTTTCCTGGAGTAGAAATGTGCATGTCGCGTTTGTAGAGAATCCACAGTTGAAAATTATGATTTTACAAAATTATGAATATTGACATATTATTTATACTGATCAGACAACGCTTTTATAGGGGTACTGTTTGGACTCAGGAATTGCCTTCTTACCCAAGTAACAATTTTGCAGAAAATCCGCGGAAATTCCCAGGAATCTTTCCTGGGAATCTTTCCTGGGAATCCGCGAAAATTCTCAGGAATCTTTCACAGGAAAATCCGGTGAAAATGTCGACAGCTTTTCCCAGGAATTTCTCATAACCCATTCGGAGGAACCAGGTCCGAGGAATTTCTTGTAACCCATACCGAGGAATTTCTTGTAACCCATTCTGAGGAAATTCTCGTAACTCTATCAAAGGAATTTCTTGTCCTAAGAATTTCTCAGGAATTTCCAGAGAATATTTCTGGAGAAATTCTGAGGAATTTCGTGGGGAAAAATTCCCGGAAAATTTCTCAGGAATTTCTCGAAACTGAGTCTCAAAACTGTGATCCCACAAAAATCTCTCATCTTGGGGACCAATTCTAGGGAATTTCTCGAGAATTTCCGAGGAATCAGTTACAGGAAATGATTCTCGAGAAATTCCTTGGAAATTCCTTAAAGAAAGTACCCACGGTTGGTGAATCTGGGGAAATTCCTCACTTTTGTTACTTGGGTAGCATTGAGGGCCACTTGAAATTACGTGTACAGTCCCTTTCAATGACAATTATTGTGTCTAGGCATCGTAAATGGAACACGGATAAGAAGAATAATAGAGAGCTGGACAGGAAGGTGACGAGGGGTTGGATACGCAGGGATGGTGGGAGGAGTAGAGGAGGAGAGGTTAAAGAGTCCCCTAAGGCTAGGACGAGAAAATTGAAGGTACAAAACCGAAATAATAACAGTAAAAATATGGTTCAAACAGTATAAAAGGGTAAAAATGGTAAAAAGAAAACTGTAAAAACACTATTAAACTGTATTAAACGGTTAAAAACGGTTAAAACAGGTTACAAAAACCTTATTTTACGATTACGAATTTTGACGCGGTTGACAAACGTTTTAAAAAGCTTGATCTAAAGTTAATTAAAAAAAACTAAAAAACAGGAATTGGTCCAGCTATAACTTCCAACATTGAAAAAAAAACCTGTTGGCAAAGCTTTAAGAGAGCAGTTTTTTTTAAACCGTAGGAAGCCAAACTATTATTTGTATCATCTTTTTGGTTTCTCCCATTTTTTATGGTTCTTGATTTTAACTCAAAGAATCTAAATTGCTGTCTTTGTTAAGGAGGACAGTGTACAGAAAAGAAGCAGCTACAGGGATATACTTAGAGAAGAAGAGAGAGAAGAGGAGCAAAGTAAGAAATCATTTTTAATTTGCTTTTCCTGAAAAACATTCCTGTTTCTTGTTTAAACTTTGCTGATTCATGTGAACAATTCCTTGTTTCCTCCTAAAAACTTTCATGTTAACTGTGATAATTTTTCTGTTTCCTGCAATAATTTTCCTTCTTTCCTGGGAACACTTTCCTATTTTCCTGTTCCTGTTTCTTCAAAAAGCTTCCTGTTTACTTTAAAATAAATTTTGCTGTTTTTTGCAATTGCTTCTTGTAAAAACTTGGTTGTTTTCTTGAAAAATGTTTCTGTTTCGTGCAAAAACATTTCCATTCCATTCATAATCATAAAATTATTCCCCCTTTTTCCTTAAACTATGCTATTTTCTTTAAAACCTTTCCTGTTTCTTGTGAATACTTTGAGTTTCCTGTTAAATCTGTCCTGTTCAACTAATTACGCTTGCATTTTCCTGGATAAGTTAGCCACTTCCTCTGAAAACTTTGCCGTTGCCTTTTTAAACTTTTCCATTTCCTGCAAACACTTTTCAGACCACTTGAAACTTTTCAATTTTATTTAAAGAATTTCGTTTTATTTCGTATAAAAACTTTACGGTTTCCTTTCAGAATTTGTTTACGACATCATAAAGCTCTCTGTTTTTGCTTAAACTTTGTTAATAGCATTTTCACTTAGCAACGGAATATCTAAGGATTTATGGTTGACTTTAAAAATTACTTTTAGAGATATGTAATCTTATTGTAACCATATTAGATCTTAGTCCGAATTTAATGAATTTGAGCTGCGTCTTAAATCCGCCAAAAACCGGTTTCAATTGAGCGTCAGCTTAAATCTTGAAACTTTGAATACAATTTTAAGTGGAAACAACCATATTTGAGCCGCGTCTCAAATTTAAGTCGCGTCTCAAATTCTTTAATTTCGGTCTCTCATTGTTTTAATGCTTATAAAGACCTCAAGCTGCTATGAGCACATCTTTTATATTTTAAGTAGTAAACTCGATTTGTTTGTTTGGATTTATGATCATAACTCACGAACTCATAGACCAATTTGCCTCAAATTTTTGTTAGGGGAACTCGGTAGAACCACGGGAACATTTTTAGCTTATAAGTTCTAAGTTGAGTAGGTGGATTTTTAGAGCGAAAATTTAGTTTTAAGGCTTGGTTCCCAAGTTTGCTGCTTAAATTTTTAAAAACACGTTTAAACTTGATCAAATAAGTATGGGAATTAACAGACGATATCAAAACATTCTAGAAATTTGTATGAAACAAAAACATTTTTTAAAAGCTTCGCCATTTAAAGATTTCAAACAGACAACATCTAGGACAGCTGAGGGATATATTTGTCTGTTAAAGGGACTGTCATTGTATTTTTAAGAGTAAGTTTTAAGATGGATATTCTAGATTCACAGTGGTACCTTTTAAATCTTTATTTGACCAATGGTGTAGAGAAAAAAAATGTGTTTAATTGTGATAATAATCTCCCATTCAATGAAATGGGCGATTCATTTTTGTATTAGAAACCACAATTGAAAATAAAAAATCATTTAAGATTTAAACCTGGATATTTTATATTATTCTTGACTAGACAAAGTTTTTAAGGGTATCGTTGTGCATGTGACATATTAGCTCTATAATTGGAGAGTAACTTGAAATTTCAACCACAGTCCCTTACTAGTTCTTTCCAGGGAATAAGAATAATGGGAAGGGAAATGGCGCTAATCTGGCATGAGCAGACGAGTTCGTTATTACACACGCACATTCTTTTGGTACAGACACACAACATGACTACAGCCAAGGAAATTCCAGAACGATGTCGTCAATTATAATCAAGCTTGAATAACGAGTAGTTTTTTGTAAAATTTAATCAAATTATATTCTTTGCATGCAAATTTGGCACAGACACACATACCTGACATTTCCGCCCCTGGTTCTTTCCTCCACAAATGTTGAATTCTATGAATTGAAAAAAGGAGGTTTGTTAGGTACAGCAAGCTTAGTGTATCAGGTTATTTGAATGAGAAATCAAAACAACCTGACTTAGATAATGAAATACCCCAAAACATTCCATACATACTTATTTATTAGGCTTCAATGTTATGAATAAAAAAGATAAGGTTAATATACTGGTAGCATCTGATCTGTCTGTATATTTGCTTACGTGTTATATAGCAAACGTTGAAACGGCTAAGCAATCTGGTGTAATTGTATTATTTTTAAAGGGGGGTTGTGTTGTCAATTTATGATTTTTAGAAAACTGATAAAACCTTTATTTTTAGCTTAATTTTTTTTACAATTTCATCATATTTCTTTGTTTGTGGCGCAAATTATCTCTGGCTGGTCCAAATTCCTCTTAAACTAATATCTCTAATTTGAACCAAAAATAACCCCCCCCCCACCCACTTTTTTTAAAATTCTTAACGCAGTATTAAAACCCCGGAAAATTACTTATTCTCTCTTTTAGATTAAGAATATATGTATTAATGAAAACTAAGCAGAAACTAGTTGGGATGTGAGTAAACAACGACAATACTATGTAAATACTAGGTTTATTTACTTTCTATAAAAACAATGCATTCCGCTCAGTAAACAATGAATGATAACAGGAACTATCCCTTAGCACTAAATCTTCGAGGAGAATCAATGCAAATTAAAAGGACTGTAAAGGAAAAATAAAAGGGGGTATAGGCTGAAACCTAAGAATCTCAGGCGTTGAACGATGCCTATAAGACATCTATCTGATGTTCCTGTCTCAAGAAATTGACATAAAACTATGTCAAAATTATACCAAAAAGTATATTTGTAAGATAGACGTCAGTATCACTTGACCAGAACTCCCTCAATGACAGTGCAGTATACTGGTCACGTGATACAGACAGAGGCATGTTACAATAATACTGCACTGCCATTGGCTGGAGTGCTGGTGACATGGTCTGGATGTGTAAATAATATTATCAATTATATCTATTAAAATTTTAAAATTATTAAACTCAAATAATACTTCTTGTTTTTTCATTGAAAGCAATAAAATTTTTCTGAGCTGTAATTTGAAATTCAACCTGAAACTCCGTCTCAAATAAATTGGAAGTATCCCACTCAACATTTCTCTTGAAATTATTGGAAAACTAGCAGGGGTATATTTTAAACATTTAAAAAATTAATTTTAATATAATTTTATAAATTAGATTTCTGTTCTGTAAAAAAAAGCTTATTTCTTCTTGTTGTTCGTGCATAATTCATCATGTTTAATTCATCATAATTCATCCCCCCCCCCTACAACTTCCCCCACTGCTATGGGAATAATCGCTATGGACTGAGCTTCGGGGTATAGAAAAGTGTACTATGAAATTTAACTACTTTAAAAATTAAAAACTTATTCAAATTGGAAAAACGAACAGATAAGGCCCCTTTAATCAATGAGAAAAGTTAAATACATACAGGAGGGGCATTTTCTGAAATTATCTCTCTTTCTCTCTATTCATCTATTTGCTCTTCTCTGTAAAAACTAGTGTTTACCCCATACAGAGAGAAACCTCAGACAACTGTTGATATTAAGAGAAGAGTTTAGTTGTATTCTATACTCAGTACTCTTCACTGTATTCTATACTCAGTACTCTTCACTGTATTCTATACTCAGTACTCTTCACTGTATTCTATACTCAGTACTCTTCACTGTATTCTATACTCAGTACTCTTCACTGTATTCTATACTCAGTACTCTTCACTGTATTCTATACTCAGTACTCTTCACTGTATTCTATACTCAGTACTCCTCACCGTATTCTATACTCAGTACTCTTCACTGTATTCTATACTCAGTACTCCTCACTATTACTCAGTACACTACACTGTATGATATACTGTTGAAATTTTGTACATATTTGTTTTTTAAAAAATTTAAACAATATGTCAATTTGGATATTTAATTTCACACACTTCAATCATATTTTATTTTTAAGAGATTGTTGTTTTAAATTAAAGAAACCCTCCTTTTAAAGAGAGGAATACCTGATTCACAACAATTCTCTTAAAACCTTTATCTGATCAATTTAGATGGAATATAAGCTATATTGTTTAAATGTCTTAATTTACATGGTTTTCTGCATTAGAAATGCTCAAGCCACTTATGTAAGACACCACAATAGAAAATAATCAGTTTTCCTAATTACAAACTTACTTTTATGGTATCATTTAATTAGGAAATTCACCTCTATAAATAGAGGGTCTCTTTAAATTACGTTTCTAGACAAGCCAAGAATTGTTTGATTTAAAATAAATAAGCTACTGATAAAAGATAAATTATTAAGCTATCTAGGAATGCTATACAAATAATGGGGTTCAATTTATTTTAAATTGTCACTAGAAATCCAATCATTTTCTTTCTCTAAAGTGAGTGCTAGTAAATAATATTAGGGTGTAGCAAATAAATCCAAATTGACCATAGTATATCTCATCTCTGTACTATATTTATTTTTAATTCGGTGTTTCTTAGATGTCTAGTTTTCTGGTTTAAAACTGAGATAAAATGATGTTCTTCATTGCTTTAAATTCATGTTATTTTCATTGCAGGGAATTAAATTTAAAAAAAAATATTTTACAAAAATCTTCAAATATAATTACCAACAGTGCTGAGTTGGGAACTCTTATACATAGTGTAGATATTGAGATCAATGCTTGATCTAAATTTTTTGTAAATCTTCACACTGAATAAATCTTTCGGATATTCATTTATAAAGAGATCAAGCAGATACGGTGTAAAATTCAAAATTGCAAACTGTGTACATTTAGATCAAGCAATCCAGATTTTTGGAATCCTACACTGAAGTTCTCAGCTCTGATTGTTACAAAATGAGATCTGTATTCTTTTTAAGCTTCCCTTTATTTATCAAATACATTTCCTCTTATCAGTTGACATTTTTTTTTCATAGATACACTGTCATTGTTAAGAAAATGCTGATGTTTTTAAATAATTGAAAAATTGTGTATTGAGAAAATTACACTGAGGTTAGCAGATG